AAAGCAACTTGATCAATGGGGTACAATAGATCTCACTACATCAGAAACTCCGTTTACAGCATCAAGGGTTGCAGATGGTCATTTTATTTTCCAGAAAGTTTTCTCTTACATTTCAAGTGCTGCACTTGATGGTTTATTAAAGGGTTTGCCAGAATTAGTTTTATCTAAACAGTGGCAATAAACTTTACAACTGGCTCTTTACCCTGAAAGATTTCAATTTTCCCTGGTCCTTGCTCTTCGACCAGCCTATTTCCCAGTACGATTTTCCCTTTGTCTGGCCTGCAACACATTTGTGACTACACAAATAAAACAGCATCAGTTCAGCAGATGGATCTTCAGGTCCAAACTCCAGAGTAAATTCCATAATCAACTAGGCTGAATGATGCTTTTAGTAGGCCAAGGCTGATACTCACTGTAATTCACATTCCCTGAGTACACTGCTCTGCAATAAAGCTTGAATGTGAGGCATGTCAGCCAAGAGCTAACATACCTGTTTGAACTAGTCCTGTGCCAATGGAAACATGTCACAAACTGAAAACATTTAGCCTACTGTATAATCGTAAATGGATTCTTTTTAACAAAATGAAGAATAATCACTTACACATAAGCACACAAATATGTTAAATGTTAATATGTAATAAAGTGTTAAACCACTCCTAGCTGGCATGTTCAGAATAATGTCACTGTAAATAAACACATTGAAGAGCTATTAGGGTCCAAGACATTTTTGCCCATCAGTAGTATTAGTTTAACAGGACAAACTTTCATTATATTCTGACATTTGGTACACACAGTACGTTGTTTATGCACTAAATGTCAGAATATAAAGATAGTTTAGCCCTTTTATTTATGTATTTAAGAGTTATTAATTTAAGAGTGACCTTATTTAATCAAAACTGCTGTTTAATAAAAATCACGTTCACGATTTCAAAATAGAACTTTTGGTTCTGAAGAGACATTAGTTGTTGTTTAACATGCACATTTGTGCTTAGCCCTCCTTTGAATCTTTTTTTTCCTATCTAAGCTTGTAACTCCAGCATGCACAATGGTTTAATCGTATATTGTTCTCTGAGTACTAACCCTTTACAAATCATATGACATAAAAAGAAAAATAAGTAACATTGTAAAGACAGTAATGAGAATTGTTGAGCTAAAGTGCCTCTTAAAGAAATCCTAATAAATTCCAGAATTTCTAGTCTTCTGGCAAGCTTTCCATTTAGAATAAAATCAATGATCAATGGTTGCAAACAGTCAGCATCAGGCTTGCATGCCTCCAGAGCAGAAAAAACTCATAGACGAAAGATGACATTTAAAGGAAAAAAGCTGACATTGACTCCATCACTGTCATTGCTTCTGCCATAAAGCAGCTTCAAATATTAAAACATTTTTCATCTGTGCTGCATTATTGGCACCAGAAATTGTTTTCTCTCTGTCTGATACTCACTTGAACTGCAGCAGAGCTCCCCAGAGACTCCAGATTGTTACCAAGGCCTCATAACATATTGGCAGTTGATGTGGTGGTGTTCATGTACACTTGCCACTCACAAAGGAGCCTCCCCCTCCCCTCACACTCACAGCGAAAAGAAAATGCTCCAACAGGAATTTCAGACCTGTTCAATGAGTTCACTGACTCAGATGTAGGAGCTGCCATGCATCATTTTGTGTGGCCTCCTTGAACTCAGTACAGGTTTTTCTGTGGGGCTGGGAAAGGTGCTTATACTGTCTGCAGTGAGGTTCTGTGGAAGTGTATTAATAAACTGACCATTTGCATCAATTTTTTTCCAAAATCTTTGTCCTTCTTCTTTTACATAAATTCCTCATCTCAATTTGCCTTGCATTGTGCTTGGGCTGTTCCCAGGTAAGTGTTTCTCAATTCAATGGCAAAAGCAGAGCTTCTGTTGATCAGCACACTTGCAATCTGTCACTGTGAGGGGAGGCAGATTTAGATGCAGCACGGAAAGCCTTCATTTACTATAGGATAATCTTGGCATAAGTTTTTATGCAAACACACCAGTAGTGTATAGGTCAGTGAGAACTGGTAGGCAAATAAAACATAACTAATGCATCAGCTCATCAACAGAAATTAAGCGCCTAAATCCCTATCAGTGTTCAAAACACTGACAAAATGAGTGAATACGCTGCACTTTGCATCATCGAACCGAAAAATACATAGTATGTTATCAAGCACTGGTTCTCACTCAGTCTATGAAAGACGGTGCAATTAAATACAGCTACAGATCATCAAAAATGATTCATGCATCCTTCTACCAGGAAGAAGGCTGAGACTTTCATGACCAGGGGCTTCTGTCACAAGCACTTGTCCAAGATCTAATGTTCAGAAGGACGTGGGGCAGCAGGACAGGTGGGTCAGCTCTCCCCTCCAGTCCCTGTGGTGCATTATGACCATCACAGAGGCTGGAGCCTGAGTCACCTTTGACTTATTATCAAGTGCAATAAGGAAACAAAGACAGGCAGTAAATTATCTTCTGTTATTTTCTGC